TTTTAATGACTTCTGAATTTAAAAGCATTTACCCTCTCCCTCTCCCAAAAATAAAAAGCACTTACCTGTTCCCTAGCCCAAGATTATAAATACGCTCCTAAATTTACTTCTAGTACTTTCAAAGTATAGTTTTTAAATTTAAATCTTTAACGAGTTTGAAATTTATGTTCATGTATGTTATGAGCAGGAATCCAACCATAGATGGGCCCAGTTGACCTAACACAGTTCAATGATTTCAAATGCTTCCTGAGGATATTCTGAATCCCACTGATCAGTGTTATCAATACAATCCTCTTCTAATTGGTATACTTTCATAGTATGTTTTACTGTCTGGTAGAGCAAGTCTCATATGATTCTTCTTACTTTAAGGTGTTTTTCTGGCTCTTATATATTTATACTTCAGGACAAATTCTAGAATCAATTATCAAATTCTAAAACAGCCTTTGGGATCTGGTTTGGAAATGTATTCACAGTAGACTTTTAGGTGAAAAAAAATTGGTTTACAAATAATCTATATAATTCCATGGCCATTTTGTTTCCAGAATGTATGTGTATATATTAAAACAAAGTCCCAAAGAATATATGACAATGTATTTGCAGTGCTTATCTCTAGATGATGGCAATGTTATAGGCGATTTTTTTTCTTAGTACTTTTCTTTCTTTTCCAATTTTTTACATTATTTTTATAGCACTTTTTAAATCAGGGACAAATCCTGACAAAATGTTATTAAACTAACATGTGTATCCATTAGTAACCTCATGATTATCTCCTTAATATAACAGAAGCCAAATGAGAATAAAAAATATTTTGTGGGAAATAAATATGTGACTTGTAGAGAGTGAAGTGCAGAGACCTGGCTCAGAGTGTAAACCCAGTTGTCTAGAATATTCCTGGGAAAGATCGAGATGGGAAGTTGAAGCGACCCAGCCCCGCAGCCTTCGGCTCCGCATGGTTGACTGCAGTTCCACTGCACAGACCTGAGGGTTTGTAGCCTTTTTACTTGGCAGCATTTCCGGGTTTTCTGTGCAGCAGATTTACAAGGCACCTGGCCTCCGGGCTTTCCCCATTTAAGAGATTCTTACTCGTGCGACACGGTCAGATCTCGAGATGCGCCAAGACTTCGCATGGCCTAAATCTAGCCCTTGAATGTCCTGATCTTTCAGTCAACAGTTAGCAGAAGGGAGATTGCTAGGCCTATTTCTAACTCTTTGATATATTTGAAGAAACACCATGCTAATTCTTGGCTCAGAGCATCTAGATGCTAACAGCAGTGGAATCAAAACTTGGTTCTCTTTGCTTTTCAATGTATATGCTCTTTCTGGGCGATCTTATCCATTTAATAACATCAATTACAATAATTATAACATCTAACGTTTATCAAGGTTTTTCCGTGTGTCAGGCATTGCTCCATGCTCTGTATGACTGTCTCATTAAATCCCTAAAACAACTCTGTAAGTGTTGTTATTGCCCCATTTTACAGATGAGGAAACCAAGGCCCAGAGAGGTCAAAGTCACATAAACTAATAATTGGCAAAGCTGACATTGAAACCCAGGCTGCCTAACTCCACAGCCTGTGTTCTTAACTATACACTGTACTCAATTTTTAATTTTCCTCCTTTAGTCCTTAAAACCTGCTCTGGTTCCTGTATTTTCAGTCTTATTTGTCCAATTTCTCCAGGTAGAATTGTCAAAAATTATCCCCATTCTCCCTCACTGAACTCCACCTCTTGTCACTCCTGCTTTTGAGAAGTCTCAGACGCACGTGTCTTCCCCACCGTCCCTGGCCCTTCCTTGTTCTTAGCCCTCCCTGACTCCCACCTGGGCTGGGAACGGCAGCCTCCCTTGAGGTGTGCTTCCTTCCATGCAGTCTAACCTGTTTTCCTTATCTTCTGAGTTACCTTCTGAGAAAGTGGAGGCGATTGAGCCACTGTACTGTTCAACAACTCTTGGACTTCCTTTTTTGTTTTATTTTAGGTTTTGGTTTTTGAACCAGATTAAGTCTGAGGTCCCAGGCTTCAAATACACAGTCTGGTCCTATTGTGACTTTTCAGCTCCGTGTCTTGCCCTTCTCCACCCAGTCCCCTCCCCTGTGCCACAGCTGTCCTGAACGTTCCCCTCTTCCTGGGGTCTGTGCCGAGCTTGTCCCGGCTCTGCGCGCCTGCGCCGGTCTCTTCTGCGCAAAACCCCGTCTGTGTTTATGTCTCAGACGGACTCCTGTTCAGCTCTCAAGACCCAGATCACCTCCAGGAACATCTCGGACTCTCCCGGGAAGAACAGTCATTCTTACGTCTCCCCCATGGCTGTGCGGGGTGTCATTTATCTGTTCACGTAGGTGGCCGTGAACTTAAGTGCGCTTCAGGGCAAGGACCAAACCATTCGTCCTTCCACCCCTGGCGCACAGCAGCGCTCAGTAAGTGTTGGTTACAGTGCCTGAAGGAACGTTGGAGAGGGTGTTAACAGGAAATTGGAAATGTACCTACTCCTGAAAAGGGGACCGTTTTCTGTTTCTCAAAGCAATCTGCTTAGCTGACTTAGCAGCCCCAGATGGGGGGGGTCTGGCATACTGGGTAAAAGTGGCACGTAGCAGGTGGAGAAGTCGCCACACTGCGAGTTTCCGGCCCAGATTGCACCGAGGTCGCCGCGCCCTCCCGGCCTGCGCAGCCTGGCGCCGCGCAGCGGACGTTCCCCTTGGAGCGGGAGGCTGGGGCTGCGGGCCCCGCGCTGCAAATGATCGGCTTTGGGCCTCGGACTAGTCACTAACTTCTTTGGGCCTCATTTTCGTGAAGAAACGTTTGGTATTTACTTGCGCACTTTCCTTGTGGTTAGTTCTGATGCAGGGAGGTTTCACGTTTCTTTACTGATGAACAGTGATTCTTAACTCGGCACGAACAGAATTGCTTTGTTTTACCTGAAACCCATCTCCTGTCCCTTTCAGCTTCAGAGTGAGCTAGAGAAAGGTGAGCGGGACAACGCAGAGCTGCAGGAGTTCGCCAACGCCATCCTCCAGCAGATAGCAGACCACTGCCCCGACATCCTGGAGCAGGTGGTCAACGCGCTGGAGGAGTCCTCCTGACGCGCCGCGGAGCCGGGAGGGGAACCGCGAGGGACAGGCCCCCAGGGCCTTCGTGGCACCAACGCTGCGCCCGGCGTCCCGCCCCGCTCGCTCGCAGAGCGCGATTCCGGCACGTTCCAGCCCGTCATCTCCCTCCGGCCCTCTGCTTTGGACGCGGCCCCCACGCGGAGCTCCGGACGTCCGGGTGGGTCAGCAGCCGAGTCTCTCGAGAACTGCCATCCAGTCGTCCACGGTGGGCGCCGGAAGCTGGTGGCTCCGCCCTGCAGGGGTTGGGCAGAGAGTCCCCGCTCCCCCCGCCTTTGTCTGAGAGCAAAGCCTGGAACCTCCTCGGAGGTCAGCGGGTGGAGAGGCTGCCTCTCGCCGTCCGGAGAGCCGAGTGTTCACTGTCACAATAGGTGCTTTCTCCTAAAGGGAAAAAAATCTCAGAAAGAGTTTTAGAAAAAGAGAGAGTGGGCAAAGAGCAAACAGGGACAAAGAGAAACCAACTCCCCTCGCTGCCTCTCTGCTTCCTCCCCACGTGTGGCGTTTGTATGGGGAGCCAGGCAGAGGCCTCACCCCTGTCCTCCCCCAGGTCCGGGCCTCGCCCGCCCCACCCTGCCCCTCAGCCAGCTGTCAGCAGGACGGCGGGAGCAGTGACCCCAATCTCTCCGTGTGAGACCTTCGACCTTACCATAATTAGTTGTTAAGTAAAATGTCAATGGAAAGAGAAGAGAGGTTTGACATAACGAAGCCCCGTCATCCCTGCCTGCAGCTTTGCCCCTCTAGAAGGTTCCTCAGGCTGGTTTCCCCCAACTGTCTCTGGGATGCGCCTGCCCTGCCGGCACCCAGGCCCGCGCCTTGCTGCCCGGCGGGGGCTGAGGTTGAAGATCCCTCGCGCCCTTTCAGCTTTGCTCCTGACTTGCCCTCTCAGAACCGGCCTCGTGCATGCCTGGAACCTTCTTCCGGCACAAGTGAGGCTTCTTATCCCACACATTCCCGTCTCCGTGCTTTGATCCAGGGGGTATCTGTGCAATGCCTGCCGCGCACAAGTCACCACGTTCGGCAGCCGCTCTTGAAAGTCCTCTTCAGGGCAGGAGCGGTGCCGTGGGTCCCCGGGGCATGCCTGCTTGAGTCAAAGCAGCGAAAAGCACATCCTTCCCCTCCCGCATCTTAATAGAAGGTACCGTTTCTAGAAAAGTCTTTCATAAGTGAGCATTTCTCATCGCTCATGATAAGGGAACTGATAGGTTTGAGGGGCCCAGTCGCCTCGTCACCTATGGGGTACCGTTTGGTAATTGAGGGTGTTTGCTGTCTGCTGTTGTTACCCTCAGGGGGCCGTGGGTGGCTGCTCCCTGCCCATCTGCACGTGCCTCGGGACCCAGCCCGCTCCCCGTCACAAATCAGAGCGTTGGCCCCAAAGCTGCAGATCCAGTTGAAGGTGTTGGCACGTGGAAGGGCACTTTTCCCAAGCACAGACAGTGGCCGTCGTAAATAATCAGGTTCCAGGAACTAGACCTCCTCTGCCGCCAGCAGCCCACCAGACACTGATGTCTTCCGAGGGGAGTTGCCGGACACAGGTTCTGTCTTGCACTTTCCCCTCCCTTCCCCAGTCTCTCAGAGCCTCACGGTGCCCGTAGGTCAGCACGGCTGTCGGTGCGGGGCCTTCCCGCCACCAGGCCTAGACGGCCGCGTCCGTCTGTGTGGTCAGCTCTCCCGCCCCCCTCGCCCCGTGAGAGGCCGCGGGTGCTCCTCACCGAAGGCCCAGATGGCCTCTGCGTAAACCTCCTGCTCAGAGGCTTCCTCACCCACCGCCAGGCTGGCCGCAGGGGGCAGGGGCTAGTGGCAAGCAGTGGTCACTTGCGGTTAATGACCTCAAGTCTGTGTGTATTGCACTGCCCATAAGTCGGACAGAAAGTCCCAAGTACTTCGGGCCAGGGTGTTAGACTCTCCCCGTGTCCCCCATAATACAGAGAGCTCAGGTGTGACGACAGCCTTCGCAGGGCCGCAGCAGGACAGAGCAGGGAGCCGTGCCTGAAGCATGGCCCGGCCGGCTGGCTGTCCTGCAGCTGGTCAGGCGGGTCTCCCCACCCCCGTCGGGCCCTTGTTGTCAGGCAGGGCACCTGCACCCCCGCCCACGCAGCGCGTGACTGTCACTGCACCTCCTTCCTTCTCTCACCCTCCCCCGTTACCTCCGCTCCAGAAAACTTACAGAAGCCCTTTGTGACAAGTGCTTCTGAGCAGGAAAATCCCCGGGACAGACACCTCTGGGCTCTGTGAGCAGCAGGGAAGCTCCGTGATGCTTCCGGAGCCCTGATCTGGCATCTCAAGTGATGCGGGGACTGTGCGGCTGGAGTTTAGGGTGAGCACGTCCTGCCGTGGCGTCAGTGCAGTCTCTGGCGTTTGGAGTGTCTACTTAATCTGGACCACGCGCTGAGCACGACTCTGATCACACCAGGACTTGTCGTTCCATGACCTTCTTCCGGTATTCACGGTTTCACAAGGTCACTCAGCTGCTACTGACAGTCGGGAGCCTTGAAGACTCACTGCCGGATGCCGGTAACGCCCCCAACGCCCCCGTTCCACAGGCCAGTCCCCTCGCCCTCCAGTGCCTCGAGAAACACCCCAAATCAAGGTCGTCATGAACAGGGCGAGACGAGCGGGTATGACCCAGCCTGGGGCCCGTGACCGAGGAAGTGCGGGGCGAGTTTCTCATCTCGTGACCTCTGTGCCAGGCCCGACGAGTCACCGATGAAGGATCTGAATGGAAACTTGCGAGGACTTGGGTGCCATTTGAAATGGGAAAGATTTTAAATGGGCTTTAACCTACTCAGAAATAGGAATGGGAACCCCCAAATTCGCCTCAGCTCTAGCCGTCGCCCCTGCACCTAACAATCAAGATCTGAGTCGCCTCTCTCGTCCTTGCACTCGGGCTTTGGAAATGGCGGCCAAGCAGACTGGCCCAAGACCACTGCCGGCGTCGATGGTGGCCACGCGACGTGCCATTTTTGGTCAGTTAAAGTCTGTTCGGCTTCCCATGAGGAGCCCGTGGGCTCGCCCTCTGCCCAGAGTGAGGGAAGAGGAAGGGAACGTCCTCACAAAGTCCTCGTCAGCTGCCGAGGTCGTCCCTCCAGTTAACGGTCAGGCTTGTGAAGGAAACCAGAATCCGTCACCGCAGAATGTCACTCTCTGAGCACCCCGTCGTCGGCATTTGGATTTGCCGCTGGAGCGTCCTGCTCCTCCCGGAGTCCTCCTGGCCGCCTTCCTGAAGCTCAGGCACCCGCCGGCCACCTCTGCGGGAAGAGCGACGCAGGGAACGCGTCTCCGGAGAGGCAGCCCTCCCGTGGCATTTCCCGCGTGCCAGCGGACCCCGCGTCGGCAGCACCAGAGACTGTCGTGTCTGCCCCAACCTCGCGTCCCCCTGCAGGAGTGCGGAGGTGTGAGAGAGGGACGGGAAGAGGCAGACTGCAGAGCAGCAGCCGCGCCGCGGTGCCGGCAGGGCCCAGCCCCGGGCTTCTCGGGAGGGGACTCTAACTGTTGAAAGCAATGTTTCGAGAGAACCTGGAGTCCCCCGTGTGAACTAAGGGAACGCACAGGCGAAAAACACGCACGTGGAAATCCTTCTGAACAAAATGGCTGTCTTCACCGACTCTTTTTAAGCAAAAACTGTTTCCAAACTTTTTAGTGTCAAAGCCGTAACCAGGTGTCTCCTGACTTTTCCCATTGTGTTTGGCGAGTGCTGTGACCCTGTCGTAGGTATTTCTCCTCCGGACTCGGGGGCGAAGTGGTTTGGGGATTGATTTTGGGGAGCGGGTTTTCATCCCATCCCACCTCTGCTGTCTCTCTGCTTGTCGATATTGTCTGTGTTACTCAGAGAACTGGGGCAGTAATGTGTCCATTATTGAGATTATTAAAATATTAAGTAGTTGTAGAACTGAAAAGTTAAAGAGCTGTGTTTAAAACTGCAAACCAGTATCATGTTAATAAAGGAATTCAAGCTATGGGGCAGCCACACTCCTCCCGTCCTGCCAAGGGAGGTGGCAGCGGGGCTGGCAGCTCGGGAAACACAGTGGCCTGCTCCAGGCAGGCGAAGCCTGGGGAGAGAGGCGACTTCTGAGTCAAAGGAACGCGAATCTGGGGGCTCAGAGACTCTCAGTTCTGCCAGGATTTTCCTGCCCATCCTCAGGACTTGTCGGCCGAGGTTTCACAGTCTGTGACCCTAGAACCAGCCTCGCCCACGTCGGTCCCAGCTCAGTGTGCCCGATTCCCTGTGGTGACCTGGGCTCGAGCCCAGCCCCACACCAGCAGGCCGCAGGGCCTCGCTCCTGCCCACTTGGTGCTATATCACCCAGTGGCCCGTCCTGGGCGGGCCAAGCGCGGGCCAGCCTGCAGCCCGCGGTCCGGGCGGGATGCCGCGTCCTCCTGTCTCGTTCCTTCTGGCTTCAGGCCCTCGATTCTTTCCCTGTGAGCTTTGGGACCCCAGATCTCCCAGGCCAGGGCTGACGCTCTCAGCCCCAGAGGTGCCGCGTCGGGAAGGGATGCGAACCCTGCTGACGCCAGGGGATCTGCCCCTGGGCCGGAGCCAGCCCTCTGGGTCCCAGCTCCTTCCCACGCCACACCAGCATCGCGCCGTCCGAGGCGCAGCTAGGCCTGGCGAGGGCGCCACACCGCCAGTCTGGCCTGCCCGCCCCGTGGCAGGGCCAGCCCCGGACCTGCCTCGCACGCCCAGGTGTCCGGCACGGGCCGGGCGCACCCCCCTGGGCTTCGGAAGAGAAGTGCCAGCTCCCGCGGGGGCGGAGGGGCGCTGGGTGCTGCCCCCGTAGCTTGAGTTCCTGACGCAGATGCGCGCGCTGCCTTCACCCGTGCGTGTGTGTTCCTGCCGGAGTCGCGTTACTGACGGGATGACGTCACGGAGAAATTGTGTGATGTTCAACTTGGCCTTGATAATTATTGTAAACACTCTGTTCATTTTTTCTTTTGTATTCACAAACTAAATCCATCAGGAAATTATAAAGTTATTTAAAAATGATGTGCTGTGTCCTTTGAGTCGCGCCCTCGATCATCCAGGCGGGAGTGCCCTTACATGCTAGGAAGGCAGAAGAAGCCAGTGGTGCCCACGAGTCAACCCCGGCTGTAGGTAGCCCGAGGGCCAGGGCTGCCCGGGCTGGGGATGGGCGGAGAACTGGCCGCGCTCGGCCCTGGCCAGGCTGGTGCTTGGTCCACAGGCCCGAGGGTGGTCTCCGGGGGTGCGGGTCCCTCAGGCGCCTCTCACGGCCGTCCCAGCTCCCTGTTCCTTCACGCCCTGAGGCGGAGCCAGGTTCTCCGTCTCTGGTCTCGTTGTCTTCCAGAGCTTGGAGGAGGGCGTCACGGACATCCCGTCCTGAGAGGGCTCTGTTCAGAACCGGGACCGGGCTCGAGTGGGGTGAGTTCTGACGCGGCAGCCGGGGTGTGCGGCCGTGCCAGCCAGCGGGACTCGGGAGCTCCCGGAGGACAGGGAGGCGAGACCCTGCGCTTCCAGTGCTCATTTCTGCTTTGATGCTGGTCTTGGGCCTCGTGCGCAGTAAGAAACGATTTGGGGGAATTTCTTTATGAGAATTGCTTTTCTGCTCGGCGTCCTGTCCGAGTCTACCCCAGAAGGAACCAGAGAGCCTGCTTCCTGTGCTCCTCCCTCTCCGTGGCCGTCCTGTCGCCTGCGGGCACTGGCGCGGGACAGTCCCACGTATCCTTCCTGGGTCTCCCGGGGCCTGGTGCTGCCCTGGCCCTGTCTCCAGCCGGAGCAGCCGCCGGGCGCTTCTGCCGGGCGAGGGGTGCTGGGAGGCGTCGCTGGGCCCGGGGCCGGAGGGCCGCGCTGCTCGTGATTCCATCGCACGGAGCAGGCAGACGCGTGTCCTCCTGCACGGCACGAAGCCACAGCCACCAGCAGACGTGTCCACCGGAAGCTGCCAGATTGCACTGGTCGGCTGCTCCCGGGGTTCTCCAGTCATCTCTTTTTACTATTTATGTCTTCACTCTGTGGTCCACAGCACCCAGTCGCGGACAAGGGGACGCAGAGACCGCGGGTTTAAGGAACTCCGCGAGAGAACTCTGAGTTGAGAATTCCAGCCACTGACATGGCTTTTTCTCTGAATCGGGAAGAGACCACTGTTTTATTTTTTTTATTTTTTTTTTTTTTGAGACATAGTCTCGCTTTTGTTGCCCAGGCTAGAGTCAGTGCTGTGGCGTCAGCCTAGCTCACAGCAACCTCAAACTCCTGGGCTCAAGTGATCCTCCTGCCTCAGCCTCCCGAGTAGCTGGGACTACAGGCACGTGCCACCATGCCCGGCTAATCTTTTCTATATATTTTTAGTTGTCTGATTAATTTCTTTCTATTTTTAGTAGAGACGGGGCTCGTCTTGCTCAGGCTGGTCTCGAACTCCTGAGCTCAAACAATCCGCCCGCCTCGGCCTCCCAGAGAGCTAGGATTACAGGTGTGAGCCACCACGCCCGGCCGAGACCACTGTTTTATTTTTGAGGTGTAATATCTCAAGCCACCTCAAAAATGACAGAGAACTGGTCGGGCCCTGGGGTGGGGAGGGGTTCAGAGGAGGCTGGTCTGGGATCCATGAGCTTCCCAGACGTCCCGGAGAGAACCTGGGCCGCACCCATGGTGCCCGGAGCCGCTGCCTCGCCTTCCCCTCTGGGAATTAAGGCCGCCTTCCTCCATGCCCCGAGTCATAACGAAGATAAGACAGGATTATATTTGTCCTTTGTGAAAGCTCCTTTAAGAGTGCAGAGTGTAAAATCGCTTTCTTCACGTCCGCAGTGTGCTCGAAAGTGCCCCGGTGTGGGGGGCCGCGGGGCGGAGTGAGACAGGCCGGCAGGGGTCGGGTCACCGTGGCGCGGGGTGCGGGGCGCGGGGCGCTGGGGGCTCTTGGGCCATCTCCTTGTGCATGTTTGACGTTTTCCTGAGTAAGTTAAACATTATCGTCCGTCAGCCCTGCTGGCCCAGTCACTGCACGTGGATCTGCGTTCACGCGGGTCGCTGTTTGCACCCCCGAGGTCCCCGCGCCGGGGCTCCCAACCGTAGCCGTGGTGCCTGGCCACCTGCGGCACAGCGCCGCACGCTTGGCACCTCATTTCATCTCCATGGCAATCCTGGGAGGCAGGTGCTGCCGTCCCCATTTTAAAGATGAGGGACACAGTGGACAACGACTCTCCCAAGGCCAGACGTCGGGAAGGGCTGAGGCTGGAATTCACAGCCAGCTCTCTCCAGGGCCGCTGTTCCTTGACCTGCTGCTGCGGCCACTTCTCGGGGAGCATCCGGTCTGGTGGGGGAAACCGATCCCAGTGAGCTGGGGCGGGAGCAGGCGAGCAGGCAGTGCCCCTCCTCACGGATCCCCAACTTGGAGCTCGAAAGACGGATTTTGCCAGCAAAGGAGTTCAAGGCGAGGGGAGGCAGAAGAGGCAGCACGAGCAAACCAGGGAGGCAGGAAAGGGTGTGGGAGCGCGAGCGGCCGGGGCAGCAGGCAGGGTTCTCGCTGCCCGGCTGGGGAGCGCGGAAGGGTGTGAGAGGAGGCCGCGTGGGCCCGGGTGGTGGCAGGTCCCCAGTGCCCTGGGAAGGGGCCGGGCCCGGAGACACAGCCTCACAGCGCGATGGTCCCAACCCCTCCCCAGGGGCTGAGAAAGAAAGGGAAAGACCACACAGCCGGGCATGTCCGCTTTGGAGAGGTACCAGCCCCGCCGACCCGCTGGCGGCTCCCGGGCCACAGGCAGACGGGCGCGTGGGAGGACAGGGCGGCGGAGGCTCCGTCGGGCAAGGAGACGTGACAGTTCTTAGCACGACCATTCCTGCGTGGCAGGCAGGCGGCCCTTTTCAGAGATGGTCATTCAGTCTTCAAGTCTGCGTGGTAGGTATTACTCCCCCTGCTTTTCTGATGGAGAAACCATTAACACAAATCAAAGATTGAGTCGTCCAGCTGCACGGCCAGCAAGCAATGGACCTGGGCGCAGAGCTGGGTCCCTCAACTCCAAAGCTGCCTCTGCCGGCCTTGCAGGGCTCCGGGTGTCAGGGCACACGCGGCTGCGGGTTTTGGAGGACAGAGGGAAAGAGGATGCCCGGCTCAATCACCATCGGGCGGATGAGCCACCCCAGGACTTGGGGCTCAGTTAGGCTCTGGGCGCCATCGATTTCCGGGAATCCAGTGACCCAGTGCTGTGCGTGTTCCCACCTTCGGGCCCGGATGGAAAGGAATGACTGTGCAGGCTTGGTGGTGCCACGCCAGCCCTCCCGTCCAGAGACCACCGCTTACCGTGGCATCCTGGCGGAAGCTGCTCCCCGCATCAGCGGTAGCTGCGGGGTGACGGGGACACCCACGGCCTTGTGCTGGCGCCAGCTGGGAGACTCTTCTTTCCCACGGTTGCCGCGTGCTCACGCTCCTCCCCCTTCCTGAATTAGCTCTCAGCCCTGTCCTGGCTCCTCTGGCCCCCCGGTCCCAGCCCCTCCAGCTCCTGCTCTCCTCGGCCCTGCCAGTGAGGGTGAAGAGCTCGAGCCACGTGCCCTCGGAGAGGGAGAGTCGGACGTGTGCAAAGAAAACGTCCATCACATGTCTGCAAAATTCCCACGCCAAAAAAACGCCTCTGGCATCTGATAGAATTCACACGCAAGAGACAGTTCCCATTTGTTCATTACGGGCTTGAGTTTCTACAATGATAATTTTATTCTTTAAGGGGCTGCTGGAAGCGAGGCTGTGGTGGGAATCTGCAGCCCTAACCAGCGCTTGGAGCCGTGTGCAGAGGCCCCGGCTCCGTGTCCCCAGGCTGCTCACAGCGCGTGGGACACAGCCCAGACAGCAGGACTCCCGCAAGCCGGTGCTCCCGCCCCGCGTGCGGCAGCCAGGGCCAGGCCTTGAGCAGCGGCCTTGGGCGTGCAGGGCAGGCTCCAGGGTGAACGGGTGACCGGAGGGGCTCCACATTTTTCCATCCTGAAGTTTTTCTTTCGTTTTATCCTAAGTATTGAGGTCTGGCTTTTAGGAGCCACCATCTGGCCCTTTAGGGACAAAGAGAGCACAAGAAGCCAGTCAGCCTTCCTCATGAGAATGTCAGCCCAGGGTCCCGTGGGGTTGGGCCCAGAGAGGCTGCGCGGCCCCCAGGGAGGCTGCCGCCAGCTCCATGGGCTCCCTGCCCACCCGGGCACAGCTGCTTGGGCCCACGGGGGTGGCAGGGAACAGGTGCCGGTCCTGCTGGATGGGCGAAGAACCAGCTCTCGATTTCGGGGCAAGGGAGGGCCTGCACTGCGGGAACCTTGGCCTCGAACAGCAGAGCGGGGGCGAGGAATGAGGGGAGGCTGAGGCAGGAGGCTCGCTGGAGCCAAGGGGTTTGAGGTTGCTGAGAGCTAGGCTGACGCCACAGCTCTCCAGCCCGGGCGACACAGCAAGACTCTGTCTCAAAAAAAAAAAAAAAAAAAAAAATTTTCCAAGCCACTTCAAAATGTAAGTCATTTTAGCTTGGAGGCCATAAAAAAATGGCACTGGGCTGGATTCGGCTTGGGAGGCACAGTTCGCCAACCCCCGGCTTGGAGAACAATCCGAGGAGACCACGATTTCCCTCTTGTTGCAATTCTGCACGGCGGGCAGAGTCCTGGGGGTGGGGGGGCCTCTCCGCGCAGGTCGTGCTGCGTGCTGCCGGGCGGGGTCCGGGCACAGGTGTCACGAAGACCGAGAGCTGAGAGTGTCTACACTGCTGTGGAGAGGAGGGAGGTGCACCTTTGGAGCAGCGTTCCACTGAATCCACCTGGTCCCGTTGCTACCCTGGACCTGACCCAACCCACGAGAGCAGAGACGGAAGTCTGGCCACTTCGCGACGTCCCCACTCCCTTTCTCTGCCCCCCTCGCTCTACAAAGCCACATTAGTCTCCAGAGTTACCAGCCTGGTCTCCTCCTGCCAGACCAGAGAACAGCAGGGACAACCGAGAGCTCAGCTTCGGACAGACGGCGGCTGGATCCTTCCCAACAGCCCCTTTGCACGGCCCCGCGGTGTTTTCGGGGCGA